ACTACCACCCTCCTACTTAACACTAACTAATAACAATTCTGATCCTATTTTACCCTTAACACTTCTTATTACTGAAATCAAAATGCAAAAATGCAAATTCTTAAAGAAAAACAAGAAAACATAATGAAAGAAATTCAAAACAAACTTGAAGAAAGAAACAACAACTTCTACCAAATCCTAAAATATTCTTTCAAAATATTTTAGAAAAACTAAATAATAGTATAAATTTAAATTGACTCCTTTTTAAAAATACACTCACTACTCAACTAACTGAAATAAAACAAGCTTTACAATCCTACTTTCAAGACTACTTCCAAAAACTACAGATTTATTAATTCAAAAAAATATAAAATATTATGAACTTTATAAACTATATCTAACAAATAAATAATCTTTTATTGATTTTTTCTCAGAAATTATTTTAGAAGAGTGAAACAAAGTCATACATGACCTCCCTAACCAAAAAGCTGCTAATTCTTCTAAAACCAACTATAAATATTTAAAACATCTAAACTTCAAAAGTCAAAATATAATTTGACTTTTCTTATTAAAATGCCTCACATTATAACAAACTTCAACACTATGAAAAACATCTAATATTTTTCTAATTCCAAAAAAATCCTCATAGAACTTTACTCTAGACCAAGTCAGATCTATCTCTCTGATCGAACCTATAAAAAAATGGTTTACTAAAATTTTTACAATCTGTCTTGATCAAATTATCACTTAGCATCACCTATTAAGTAACTTAAACTTTGCAGCAACCAAGAATAGCTCAACTCATATTCCTATACAAATATTACTAAATACAATCAAACATTACAAAACCAATAACAAAGAGGCATAAATACTCTTTTAAGACATGTTCAAGGCCTTCAACAAAATTAATATTCAATAGTTACTAGATGTCTATAAATATATTGGTATTCCTCAAACTGGTCTAAACTTTATTAAATTTCTTTACCAAGACAGAAAAGCAAGAGCAATTACTGCCTATGGCCTTACTGATCTAATCATACTATACTTAGATATAAAAAAGAAGAAACCTATTTGCTACTACTCTGAAAAATTTATTATGACCCTATTCTTAGCTATATAAATTCAAAATATAACTCAAAACTTCTCAAAATTTTATTACAATCTCTCTTAAAAACAATCTTTTTAACTACTACATCTATTATAACAATACCATCTCTTGCTTTCATAGATGATACAGTATGGCACTATAAATCCAAAAATAATCTTCAAAATATTTTAGATGACATATCTGAACTTTACCAATTAAATAACATACAAGTTAACCCATCTAAATCAGATCTCATTTATATTACACTTAATAAAAAAACATTATTTAACACTATCTAAGATATAAATTTTCTAAACTTTAATAACCAACTAATTACATCTTGCAAATTCAATAATTCAATTAGATACTTAGATATTTTTTTAGATAGGAAAGAATCAACTAAACTTATACTCAAAAAAATTATTAGTAAAGTTTTTCAATTTACTTATATAATTCAATATAAAAAACTTCTTTTTATACAAATATCTTGACTATTTAATATCATTCTTTTATTATTAATTAAATATTTATTTCAAATCTGCTCTTCTTCACAAAACTAGTTTCAATGATTATTAAGTCTCTTAACAAAATGCTCCAAATATATGCTCCACTTATCTACAAATACAAATAATAATATACTTACTAGCCTACAATTACTCAACATTTCTATACTAAATAAACTTATTCTACAAGTTAGTAACAGTAATATAAAAAGATGCTTCAATACTAATGAATTTTTAAACCAAATTATTATGCACCAAATCAAGGAATGGCTTTCTAAAATATGAAAACCATTTCTAACACAAGATATAATTTTAAAAAATTATAAGAAAACTACTAATTTCATTATAATATCCCAACTTTATCTATTTTTTAACAACTTTTATTTAACTCAACTATCAACTCACAAACAAACTAACTAACTAAACAATATTTACAACTTTATCTTATTTCCAAATAATTCAACAATTTTAAGTCTTAAAAATAACAAAATTCTTTTTCTTGAACAATTTCTTACAGCTAATAATTTAAATTTATTTTCTTAGAAAAATATATATTTAAGAACTCACAAATCTTCTCGAGATTCTATTTCAAGCTAGTTTAAAATACTCTCAAACCAAATATCCACTTTTCCTTTAACATGCATATAGTCCAATATTCAATATTTACTAATAAATCTATTTTTAAATACACTTAATTTGATCACACCTCAATTCGATAATATCAAAAAAACATGAACAATTTACATCTCATCTTCAAACTGACATATAGGCAAAATAACAAATAAATTCAACTTATTATTACTCTTTCAAAACTACCAAATTATCAATTCAATATCTAACACAATTTGTATTTCTTCTACATCTACAATGATTCAAACTAACACAAAAATACTATTAATTTACAATACAAAATACAAAAAAAACAACAACACTTCAAGCTTAATATTAACAATCAAAAAATTTAAGCACTTCAAAATATTTATCTAGAACTATACAAACCAGTTCTTCAATTATTACCCTTCCTCTTAATACTTTCCTCAGAAATTCTCTTAATACAAAACACAATATCTAATTTTATTTATTAAAACCAACTCATCAATCTTTATAAAAAAATTCTATTTCTAGAACCAACTAATCTAAACTTTTATACAAATGCCTCTATACTCAATTCACAAACAAATAACATCTTAACAGACATCACTTAGATCCTTGAAAAAGATACACAAATCAAATTTAATGCTTTTATAACTTATGCACCAAACTCAACACAAGCTAAATTAGCAGTACTCATCATTCTATTTCTTATATTATCTGTCAATTATCAAATTTACATTCATCTAGACAGTTTATTTACTATTCAAACACTCTTAAACATATTACTTTATAACTACAACTTATAAACTAAACAAAATAATTGAAATATTATATATATACTTAATTATTTAATAAAACTCAAAAACATCAATTACATTATACACAAAGTCAAATCACATTTAAAAAATACTTTATACAATATAACTAATTCTCTTTCAAACAAGGTGCTAACAAAACTAAATTAAAATTTAATCTTGATCACTTCTATCTACCCACTTACTTTTCTTGAAAAAAAATTTCAATTACATATAAACTACATAATTCTGCAAGAACTTAATCTTAATTCAAACATTTAACAAACTCCTTTAACTCAAACTATTATAGAACTTTCCAACTATAAATATTCTATTATTAACTAAAATTATTAACTCTCAAAACTTCAATCTCAAACTATATTTTATTAGAAACAAAATACTTCTTAATAACTTACCAACAATGTTAAATCTAAATATTTACTATCCACTTCTTTATCTAACTTCAAATTGCTCATATTGTAATTAATATAAAAATATTGAACACTTATTTCAATGCTTGCTTCATTTCTACAATCCACAAAACATTCTTACTAATGAAATCTTAAATGTCTTAAACTCTTTAAACATTACAGAAACTTCACCAAATACAATATTACAAATTCTTACTATATAAAACACTTCTCTCAATTTAAATATATATAACACAATAGATTACTTATTTAGAATACACTAACTCTTAGTAGTATAAATCTGAAAGAATTAAGACAGAAAATCTAACCATCATCATTTGAGTGACAATTGGTTTATAAGTTTGTTGTTATACTTATGAGGATAGAGACATATATGTGTTATTATTCAAGTGATGGTTGGTTTATGAATCGAAATATGTATAGCATTCTGCTTTTTAATCATTACTTAAAGCCTTTCTTTTATAGTGACAAAACACCTAACTGTTGACATTCGAGTGATAATTAGTTTACAAGTTTATCATCACATTTAGCATTTTGCTTTTCGATCATTATTCGAATAATGATAGGTTTACAAGTTTGTCATTACATTTAGCATTCTGCTTTTTGGCAAAAATTATAAAAAAGTTAAACAAAACTCTAACCAAAAAGTTGGAACAAACTCTAACCAAAAAGTTGGAACAAACTTTAACCAAAAAGTTAAGACAAACTTTAATCAAAAAGTTGGAACAAACTCTAATCAAGAAGTTGGAACAAACTCTAACTAAAAAGTTAAGACAAAACTTTAACCAAAAAGTTAGACCAACACTTTAATCCAAAATTGCTATTCTATCACACATTTAATTTCTTATTAACTTTTCAACTAACTCTAACTAATTTTTATATAATTTTTCTTAAAATGTTTCTGAAAATATCTAGAAACATAAAACCCTCTAATATGTTTAAGACAATAACCAAAAATAGAATAAGTAGGTTTATCATATTCAGAGCAAGAATTATAAGGTAAAGCTTTATAATAAAAACAGCAACCCTCAGGGTAAGTACTACAATGCATACAAATTTGCCTAGAATAATTAACAAAAGAGCAAATATACATAATACTCATTTTTATATAAGATAAAAATATAATTTAAACAATTTTCTATAAGTAAATAATAAAACTTTTAGTTTTTATATTTACCAAACATTATATATATTTAAATAATAAGTATTATTCAATCTACTAACCAACTATCTTTAGAGGTCAAAACCTCTCTTCTATTATGGCAAGATAACAAAAAATTAATAATTGATATATTGATAGCAAGAAACTTTTATAACAAGAATAAAAATAAAAAATTTATGAATTATTATAAAAAGCAACTTGATGAATTGCATAAATCAGAAGATCAAGAGCAATATATTATAATTAAAGCCAGATTGCTTATTCCTAATAAAGAGATATATGATACAAAAATAAAAGCATTCTCTAATTCTTATTATAAAAGTAAACCAAAAATCAGACAAGCTATTTTAAACTATCTTAAACTAATTTACAAAATTGCTAAAAAGTACTTTATAACAAATAAGGAAAGAGAAAAGAAATTTCAAGCATGGCTTAACTCATAAGCACCCACTAAGAAGGTAATTGCACATCTTTTATGACTTGAAGCTCTTCTCTAACAAAAGATCTTTTAGGACTATTGTCTTCATTATCTTCTAACCAGTATAAGATAGGTTGATTTTTTTGTACTAAAGATTCGCAGATATAATAAACTTGAGAAGACCAATTACAATCAGTTACATGATGTTTTCTACCTTCTAACTCACCTGGTTCAAGTAAGTATCTTACTAAAATATTATAAGATAATCAAGGTTCATCAAATTTAACAGGACTATTGTAAAGTAAAGAAGACATAGCATTAACTTGTTTCTTTTGTATAGCTTCTACAGGAGTCATTTTAAGAAGTTGAGTTACAAAATTATTAAGTTCTTTAATAATAATTAGAAGATTTTTTACCTAAGCCCTAGATCTTTCAAATATTGGCAATAGCAAATCTAATGCATTTTGCATTCAAAATAGTCTTTCTGCTAAGGTTCAGTTATATATTTTAACAATACTTATAGTATGTTTAAAATTAGCTTTTTGAATTTTTATATAATGTTTTATCATTAATCTTTCATAATCCTTTTTGAATTCAGAACTCTTATCTGTTAACAATAATTTAGAATAAGTAAATGGACATGTCAGATTATTATAGATTTTTTTAAATGCCTTAGCAATAGCATTAGAAGTTAAAATATTTTTTAAATTAACATCTTCAGCTTTTAACTAGCTTACATCAATATTAGAAATAATACCTCTAATTGGAACTGATGCTTTATATCTAAAAGCAATATCTATTACATTAAGACAAAACATATAGGTTATTTTTCTAATTTTATCATAAGGCATATAGAGAATATTAGCCTAATAACATTCATTAGAAATTTGAATTGTATTAAATGAAACTCTAGAAATATACCTTGGAGGTGGCTTGTAAACTTGAAAAATAGCTTGCTTATTTAACCAATTACATATTTCAGCTAATAAAAAATTATATACTCCTCTTCTACTCACATTTTGTATTTTTTCAGTTATTTGATAATAACCTTCAGACTTATAATAAATTTTTTGCAAAGTAATCTCCCTATTCAAATCACAGACCCTTTGTGGGTCAATATAAATTATAGGTTTTTCTAAGAACTCTATAAGGTAGTATCACAATTAGTGGAATCAAATAGGAATTTTGAACAACATCTATATATCTTAGAAAGGATTATAGGTATATGAAAAGAAAGAATATGATTTTTTGAAGAAGAGTTAAATAATGCTATTAAACATTTTATATAAGAAGAATTAATAAAAAAAATTTTAAAATTAAAAAGAATTCTTCATCAACTTAAGGAAGAAAATAAAAGAAAAGACAATAAAATTTCTAATAAAGATAGATTAATATTAGAATTTGATGAACATAAAACAAAATTAAAAATCTGAATATAAGAGATATTTAAATTGGCTAAAAATATATTTAAAGTATAAAATTATACAACTAGATTAGTAGACAAAAACAAACACCTTAAATGAGAAATAAATACAATAAAGGTTAATCAAATAAATAGAATTAATAAAATAAATTAGCAAAAAAATCATATTACAGACCTGCTTTGTCAAAATTTTGTATTAGTATTATTAAGATATTAAGATAGATTAGAGCTTAGAAATATACAAAAAACTTTACAAAATGCACAGACAAGGAATTTTAATAAAAATAAATATGATTCTGATAAAAATTCTCTAGACTTGTATAATTCTAATAATATGGGACAATAGCTAAATTGGCTAATACTATAAACTGATCTCTAAATAATACAACAATATATAGAACTATTTTAACAAATCAAATTAAAAGATCAACAAGAGCAATTTGATGTAAATATACTAATCTGCAACAAGATCTGATAAATGAATGATGGAATTATGATATATATAGACAGGAGTAAGACCAGGCATTGCTTAAACTTTATCAATTATGGACTAATGCTCAAAATCAAGTAAACAGAATAATAAATAATATAACAATAAAGCAAACCCATATCAGTGCATTGCTATATAAAATTTTTGCTTTTTAGTTATTGTATCAGTAAAATGCCTGCTACCTACAATGATGCAGAGCCAATAAAGCTTTCTAGAATATAATTGAAATAGGTTATATAAATGATATAAGAAGTGAAAAAATAAGACTTATGCAGAGTGCCAAAAAATTTTAATTTTAAATTAACAAATTTTTGCACTACAAAATAATCTACCTAATATACAATAAATAGGAATAGCAGAAATATCACAACTATTTTTTGACTAGGATGAAGATATACCAGATTTCTTTGCAAAACTAAGAAGTAAATCCAGTAGATAATGTGGGAGGTTTACTAATGAAAAGAGAAATAGCTATAGGATATTTAAGAGAATGTATAAAAGAATAAGCTTTAGAATAGTTTAACAAAAAGATTACTACAAAACAGAATTGAGAATTAGCAAACTTACTTGATAATATAGAGCAGGCCAACTTAGTAGCTATAAATGAAAGAACAGCAGTCAAATAGGAAATTAAACATTGAATAAGGCACTTGGTCAATCTGGTAATGCAATAGTCAAATTAAGAGGTATAAAAAGTTCTTAGAATGAAGATTGGCATATAGCAGATGGTCATCCTACTAATATTGCTATTAATGCACCAAATGCTAATAATAATACTACAGTAGTTGTAGCTGGCATTTGTTTTAGTCAAGCTATATGGTAACTAAAAACACATTTTTCTACAGTAAAAGAGGAGCTTCAGAATTTGCAATATGGAACAATTAGAAAAGGAAATATGACTATAAATGAATTATATAAAAAATTGTTACAAATAAGTAGATGAGCTAACTATAGGCCTGAAGAATTATATAATAAGTTCTTGGATGCCTTTTTATTCCATGGCTTGAAAAAGCAGAGAATATCAGTAAACATTTGCTATTAGATAAATTAGCTATAAAGCTTTATAAGATAGAGTTATGATGAATTACTAGACATAAAAGAGATAGAATATCTGATCTGCTAGTATCTCAACAAGTATCTTAAGAAATATATGAACTCTTATCCATTTCAGCTCCTCAACAGCAAGAAATTTCTTTAAAAGATATACAAAAAGCAATCCAGAATGCACTAGTGCAACAAAAAACTGAAAACCAGACATTAGTAAAGAAAGTTACAGAATTAGAATCTCAAATGGCTAAGCAAACTGCTTCTCAAACTGTTGAACCAGTTAAACAGCCAAAAGGTCTACCATCTTTATTACAAACAGAAGAAGATATGAGAAATTATTACTTATCATAATTCTTAAATAATTTAGGTATATTTAGTACAGAAAATTTAGAGAGAAATTATTCTATAAAACCTTTTCAAAGATCTTATCTACAACAAAGCCAGCAACAAAAGCAATCTGAGAAAATAGACAGAATAGAATCAAAAGTAGATAAAATCAGTCAAATAACATCTCAATTCAAAAGGATGATGCTTGATAATCAATCCAAAAAATCTGTAGCTAAATCAAATTCAACATATTGATACTTTCCTTTTCTAATATCTTCTCAATCCTAATATGCATCTCTTGATTTAGATAATATTGAGGATGGTAAAAGTGGATATAACAAGAAAGATAATAGATAATATGCTCCATCTCAATTAGAAAAAAAAAACAGATATTACTAGTAGATAATATGTCATATATTAATGCAAAGTGCACTTACTACAAAAGATATGATACCAAAAACTTATGATCAACTAATAAATTTGTTATTACTAACAATGCAAAAAATATATAAATCCAATTAGTCTCATAAAGTTCAAGAAGAAACCAATGAGTGATTCTCATCAATACAGTATCTGCATAACAATATAAATAATTTAACAATCTCTAATAGTTTTTTAGATTCAGCTAACAAATTCAATACTATTAATAATGCAACTATCAAAGCACTTGAGTAGGAAAATAATAAACAATCTAATTTTGTTATAAAAAGTAACAATTCAAAACATATTACTGAATCATTAGGATGAATTATGAATGTTCCAATCTCTATAAAAGATAATACAGAAAAAATAGTTACAGTTTCAAGGAATTTTGCACATATTGATAATGGTAAGTCTGAACCAATACTATGTTTGGGTATAATATAGATTTGAAAAATTCAAGATATTATTGATCTAAATAAAAATCAATTCCAAATGAAGTTATAAGAGAAGACTTACACTATTCCACTATATAGCAAGGCCCTAGAAGCTAAGGGACTACCAAAAGAGGAGCTAAAGATAGCTTCTCAGGAATTCATCCCACATGATTCAGCCTAAATTTTCTCTAGTCTGACTAGTAAGAATGATTTAAAAAAAAGTGCAAAGAGCTTGAAAAGTGACTCATAAAAACTAAAGAGTGGCTTGATATAGTTCTAAATACAGGTAAGATTCTTGCAGAAAGATGTTCTCAACTTACTGAAACAAAGATGAAAGAATAGAAGCTAATCTTTTAGTATCTTTTATTAATTTTTCAAAATTAGATTCCTATCTAGATGTATCATCTTTGGAAGAATTGGTTATTCTATTTTTTTCTACTAGAGAAGATTTATCTTTTGCCTTTATACTAATCTTTTGTTTTTTACTAACCTTATCTTTTCATTTACTAGTTACTATATTTAGCCTTATATGAGAATTTGTATCATCTTTATTATCACCAGAATGCTCTATATAAAGGACTCATTTTCTTGTATATTAGTAGAAGAGATATAATGCTCAGTACTTACTAGCTGTAAAGATTCCTGTTTATTTTCTGAAATCTGATCAGAGATGCTAACAGATTCTAAGATTTTATGCCACTTTTTAATCAGTTCAGAAGGCCTTTGATTATTAATGATTTTTTGATATATTATTGTCTCTATATGATGTTTTTTACACTTAATACGTCGAGCATTTGGAATATTATTCTGAGCATTTCTGATTTCTTCAATGGCTTCAAATGACAAGTAGGTGGCATCTGATCTAAAAAATTTATGAGTATGAGTTGATAGTTTTTTACTTATAATTTGTTAATAATAAATTTATATAATACCAATAAAAAACTTGTAAAAAATTTATTCACAACCTATTTGGCATTGGTCTGATATTGGTTTGATATTAGTTTGAAATATAAAGAAAATTTGTTTTTTTTATTATGTAGTTTGCTATAACTATGATCCAAATAGGGTTGAGATATATATAGTTTAAATATTATATTTGTCTTAAACTAATTTATTATTAGTTTGATATCAGTTTAATTCTGGTTTCCTTTCTTTATATTCGAAGAAAAATATATATATATGAATAATTTACATCAACCACTTTTGCCAAAAATTTCTAATGCCATCTCAGAAAATTACTAAGAAAAAAAAATATATCTATCTTCAAGTAAATTTATATGACAAATCTGCATATGCTGAATAAGATAAATGCTAGGATAGCTCTGGTATCTGGCAATGAACTTGGAAGTATTCCATCTAATCAATACCTATCCAATTGAACAGAACTTGAAAATCAGCTTGCTTGCACAAATTAAGATCAAGAAATTGCTATAGAATATATCAATTGACTTGCTAATAAATGCTCTGTTTTGGATAAAGACAATAAGCATATCAATGGAATCTAAATCGATCTAATAAAGATAAAGAGAAACATTTCAAGCATATTTATCAACTTATAGATGAGGTTAAGTGATTGTACTCAAAGTTAGATACTCTAACATCCCAGATTACTCACAAGGATATTTTTCTTAATAAATATAAAGAAAAGATTCATATAAAACTAAAAAAGATGAAGGCTCTCTAGTCTAAGCTAAAAGCATTGAAGATAAAACTATCTTCAACTCAGAAGAACTCATCTATAAAAGAATCTAAGATTAATTATCTTAGAGTCAAATTATATGCCTTGAATTCTAATCTAGCTTTGAAAAATAGTAAATTAGAGCATATAAAGAATATATTAACTTTAAAAAATATTGAATTAAAACTAATAAAAAATGATTTGGCTAAAAAAAATTTAGAGATATGCTTTTTAGAAACTAGACTCAAAGAGTTATTGCTCTGCAATAGATTATTATCAAAACAAGTTAAGATTGAAAATAAGACAGATAAAAAAAATGATAATAATATATTAATTATGCAGTTTCTATCAAAGGATCTGAACTCTTTATCTCTTGCAAAATATTTTGTATATAAGCCTAAGACAGAGAATAGTCAAGTAGATAGAGATATCCAAGAATCTTTGACTCAACAAACTTTAACTAGTTTAAATAATAATATGCCTAAAGAATCAAAAATCTTTAATAAGAAGTGGGTAAATAATAAGTAGATATGAAGTAATATTTTTCTCAAAATAAGTTCAAAGTATATTATATCTAAGATAAAAAATAATAATATACCAATAAAAGAGATTGAAAGGTGTGGTGACTTAGTAAAGTGGTCAGGTTGTCAACCCTCCAAGTAGTAGATTGGATGTTCAAATTCCATTAATGGTGAAAAAATTTAGATAATCACCTATGTAATATTCGTATTATGGCAACTATTACTAACAATTGGATTAGGATACCTGTAATAGTGATCGCACCAGCATGACTGGCAGGTCATGGGGCATCTGTGCAATGTTGGAGTTATACGAAGAAATGCAAACTGACAAATCGGGCAGTGCAAACACTAGATAAGTCCTTGTGGCCGTGTAAATCTGTTGAAATTGGGTAACAAGAAGTCTATTTGGAAAGACCTGAGTAGAGAGGTAGATGGATCTTTGACAGCCCTACTGTAAAGGCTAGCCTGGCAAAATAGATACCCAGGTCTAGTACCCAGTCCTAGTAGCCAGATGGGCA